TTATTTTTAAATTAAATATGTGAGAGACTATACATATTTAAGTTTCAAACATTTTCAGTAAACCTAAAACCAAAATGAATTTAATTTAATACAAAAAAAACGACAACACCATAACATAACTAATATTCTAAAACAAAAAAAATCGATTTAATCCAATAAAAACTTAAATTTATATATACCAAAAGATATTGAGTAATATAAAATCATATCAAGTAATATACAAAAATTATCGAACCACAAGGGTGGTGTCTGATTGGATTGAGTTTGGTTCCAAAGGTCAAAAGTATCAGGAGGTTCAGGTTCAAATCCAAAATAAAAATCCCCTTGTGCCACGGAGGTTCAAATGCGGTGATTCCAAGCTATCTGCAAAGCAGGTGGTCTCTCTGGGATTAGTCGGCTCGCATAGCAGGTTGAATATCCAGGTTAATAAAAAAAAATTATCGAATAATTGTATTTTGACTTGAAATCCAAAAACTTACATATTAACATCCAAAAAATAACAATTTTAGATTATAAACCTAGTAAGGAAATAGAAAATTATGAATCAAACGCTTTAGTTGAAATAAATAATATACATATATATGTGTGTGTATAAATATATATACATATATAATTTATTAATTAATATATATAACGGGTACGAGGCGGGGCAGGGAGTACTAGACCCGTCCCCATCCCCATCCCCGGTTTGAGACAAAAGGGAAACCCGTCCCCGTCCTCATCCTTGATTTAGCGGGGAATCCCGTTCCCGACCGGGGCGGGTGGACCGGGTTCCCCGACGGATCGGGACCCATTCCCATGCCTACATAAAACTCTCCCTGAAAATTTATCAAATAAGACACTTTCTATATCATTAAGCTGTTAATTAACAAACAAGTCCTAAAGGTCATTTGACTTGGTTGTACTCGTGTTTTCGGTAAAGCTCTATCTTCTAAAAAGAAGAATTTAAATCTATAATAAGAATATTACATGAAGATCTGTAATATATAAATTTTATACATTTAAAAGAAATATATATATAGGAGCGATCAAATGAAAATCATTCCAATTTGTAAAAACCGTAAAAACTACTATCATCCGTCGTGATCTTATGAAATTTTTTCATGAAATTGTTTAATCTTGTGAAATTGTTTCATATAATATTTTTTTTGATGAAGTTGTTTCATATATGGTTATGAAATTATTTCATATACTATTTAATGAAATTTTAATGAAACTGTTTCATGTATTTCTCTAAAATTAAAATAATAAAGATGATAATATCCATGATTAACATCCTCCACAATAAAAATGATTATTCAACCTCTTATAATTACAAAAATATGAACAAAATGAAAATTTATGATTGGTGGACTGAGATTTTTTCGGTTTTTACAAATTGAGTGGTTTTCATTTGATCGCTCTCCTATATATATATATATATATATATATATTTATATATATGGAGCTCTTCAATATTTCATGCATGGAAATGCAAGTAATTCTGGGAAGAAACAGTTCCACAAAAACTTGAAATAGGTCCCATATAAGTATATAACCTCGTAAAATTCACTTCAACTTGTATAATGTAATGTTTTTTGACGTTTTAAAAACGGCGTCAAATAATACAAACTTTCGCATGTTTAATTTAGAGTAGATTTAATGATTTATTTGAAAGTGAAACCTGAACTTCAATAAGCTAAATAGTCGTCCCTCAAGTTTGGATTTTACTTTAAAAATGGAATCTGATAGTTAATTTAGTCTATTATGTCTCTTAGAGTCGGAGGTATTTTTGTCCAACCATATTTTGTCCCCCCTTTCACTCTTTTTTGTTTTTCCTTAATTTTGTAAAAATCAAAATATTATAGGACTTGTAAGTAATTAACTCTAACATATATATACACATATACATATGGAAAAGTTGAGAAGTAATATCAAGTTTTTTATTAGGTGAACATTTGCTTTGACCGTAAAGCAACAGATAATTCTTTACATGAGTATGCAAAAAATAGAGGGGTAGTTTCATAACTTTTACAAATAGGCGGCAAACGGATTCATACATGAACTATATGTTCATATATGAATCACAAAGATTCATAAATGAACTCATTTACCGTCTATTTGTAAAAGTTATGAAACTCTTCTCTCTATCTTTTTGCATAGCTGCAACTTTCTACCAGCCAAACCCGTAATTATCGACCAGTGGCCGCAATTATTGATCAAACAAATCCGATCTTAACCGTACGAAATATTATCATCACTTTCTTACTTCTCAAATATTTATGGTTTCTCAAAACATACTGTATATTGTATGTAAAACGCAGAGACCATATCATCAAATCACGGGTACCAAATCATCAAATGACAGTGACCAAATCTCCAATGACCACTTCAAAAACGAACCACAACCCTCTCCCTCCATCTCGATTTGTGTTTCTTTTCCTCACACCTCTGGCCAAGCTCAACTTCATCGACCTGCAACTCCATGGAAACCGAACTCCATCGACCTCCAACCTGCCAACCTCATCTCCCCCTACTGTACACAAACATTGCAAGCTAGCTAGCCACCAACAAACCGAGATCCAACCATCGGCCTGTTAACACACACACACTGCAAACTCCGACCAGAATGCAACCCCGATACCTGCAACTCCATTGAATCTCAAACCCCCACTTGCCACCTCATCATCCCCTATGCATCTCAATCACCAGCCACACACTCAAATCTGTTTTAACGAGTTTATGCATGTGTTGTAGGTGTGTTTCTTTGTGTGGTTTATTTGTCACACTCAATCTGTTTTAACAGCCTCTGAAGTGTTTTTCTGGTGTGTTTGTGTGTTGGGAAAAATTCCGGTGAGATTTTCCAACAGGGATGATGAATCTAATGGTTACGACGACAAAATCCAAAGAGGAATAAAACTCGCCTTGTGGTCACATAAGTTCAAATGCGGTGACTCCAAACTATCTTGCAAAACATATGGTCGTCCTGGGAATAGTCGGCTCGCATAGCAGGTTGAATATCCAGGTTAATAAAAAAAAATAAGGGGAGAAAGCTTTGTGGAAATTACTCATCTTTAAAAAATGTGCTCCAAATAATTATCCAAATCCTTGAAGAAATAGAATTCATCACATAACAATGCAATATCTCAATTCACACGACTTTGAAATGTATCCATGTAACAACCACAATTTTAAACAAATACCACAAATGTTATACATAACACGTCACATTGGCACATTGGAACGTCACACTAGGTCCCAATTTACAAAGCTGTAATAACTGTGCGAAGGCTACCATAAATTTTTTTGTTAACAAATCTTCTTACAAACGATCCAAATATCATGAAGATCAAAAGCAAACTTCGTAAACTTTCTCGACAAGCTTCACATATGAAACTTCAAATAAAACTGTTTTGTATCTTTCCTTTACCTTCTAAAAGCTAATACCCTGAAATACAGATTTTTGAAAACAAAATGAGGGTTAGACCATACGGTCTACTGAGAAAATCACCGTCGGTGTATATTGTTGAAGAAAACATTAACCAAATCATATAAAAAGTTATGATGATTAACACCAAGAGCATTTGTGAAGATATCAGCAGATTGTTCAAAAGAAAGAATTTTTACAACTTTTAACAACTCTTTACTAATGTGTTCTCGAATTTGATTAATATCAATTTCAATGTGTTTAGTACGTTCATGAAAAACATGATTGTTAGCTATTTGAATAGTAGATTTATTATCATGATATAGACTTACATGAAGTAAATCAGATACATTTAAATGTGTGAGTAATTTTAGAATCCATAAGACCTCACAAGTGACTGAAGTCATGACACGTTATTCTGATTCTGCAAAAGAACGAGAAATAGTATTTTGTTTTTTGCTCTTCCAAGAAATCATTGAATTTCCCATAAATAAACAAATTAAAACTCAGTTACAGAATGTCTAGAAGATAGACACTTGCCCCAATCGACAGTAACAAAAGCAGCTAAACAAAAAATTTCAGATCTAGTGAAGCTAACACCTTTACCTGGAGACAACTTTAAGTACCTGAGAATTCTAAGAGCAAAATTCAAATAAGACTGTTATAAATTGACCAAGACAATGTACAACAAAAACAATATCTGGTCTAGTAACAAGAAGATAAATCAGTCTTCCAATTAATCTTTGGTAACTACTATAATCACATAAAGGAGGATCTTTATTACTACTAGAATTAGTAACAACTAAGTTGATATCCATAGATGTATTAGGTGAAAAGTGAAGGTCTATCTCGATTTCATTGGTTGCTCGAGGCTGAGGAGAAGATAAGTTAGGATTAAAAGGGTAAATTGGTTTTCAAACCTAATAAGTTGAATCCTATAAGTTATAAATGGGTAACTTATTTAAAAACTCTTTATTATCGATTTGATACCGTTATAAATAATTTTTTTTCCTTATTCAAACACTAAAAACGACTTATTACCAGTGTTATACCGAAATAAATCCAAATATTGATTTAAATAACCGGTCCCAAACACCACCCAAAGACTGCGTTCCTACTTTCCCCCTAATCCAATATTATTGCTTCCATCAATTGCGGTTACGAGATTCTGCAAATTTCCTCTTAGGTGAGCCCTCAAACTCGGATTGCTGCTATTTTCACTCGATTCACGTGATCATATACCTATAATTAGGGTTCCATCTTTTCTTTTTCATGATTTATAGGTTTTTTATGTGCTTTCCATATGTTATTTTTATACTGTGCTTAATCAATCAGTAATTTTATTTGAGAACATTCATTTTTAGTGATTTCTTTATCTTCTGAACATCTTTGATTTGTTAACGCTTGGAGTCTGCTTCAGTGCTTCCCTAAATTTGGGGTGGTGAAGGGTACATGTGACTCTGAGAGGTAGACTTGAATACGTCATCTCATTTTGTTGAACTTAAATGAATCGAAACCAGTAACTGGTCTCAACTGGTCTCCAGTTGTGCAAACATTGAAATTAGATTTCTTGTAAGAAGATTGTTATGGTAGTGAAGTTATTCGGCTTTTGTTGGACTTTTACCGAGGTAGTGATGATTCTGCGATTGTGCTGAAGCATATTGTACGTTAATGGTTTCTTCTTAACTCCAAAAGCAGTGGCAATTTGATGAGAATAACACAATAAACTCTACATTATTTGAATTGTATAAACCATTTGCCTGGTGCGAGCTTTCGTCATCTTTATGACATCGCGGGTTCTCTGTTTTTGTACGAGTTATGCTGCCATTTTGCGTTCTGAGGTATGAATATCATTGTACAGGAAGGGAAAGGGTTGGTTTATATGGAAGGAGTAGAGGGTGATACTGCCTCCCCAGTGGCACCACTAGCCAAGTGGAGAAACGAATTCTCAAGGGCCTTCCAGTATTATCTGGATAAGTCAACACCTCTTCCAGTTCATAGGTGGCTTGGGACCCTTGCTGTTGCAGCAGTTTATATCTTGCGGGTTTATTATCTTCGAGGGTTTTACATCATATCATACGGTCTTGGAATTTACACCCTGAACCTGTTAATTGGATTTCTCTCGCCAAAGGTTGATCCAGAGCTGGAAGGTTTGGATGGCGCTTCATTGCCTACAAAAGGTTCCGATGAGTTCAGGCCATTTATCCGCCGTGTTCCAGAGTTCAAGTTCTGGTGAGTTTAGCATCCTTTACATGACCTCGTTGATGTGAATTTTGACCTCAAATCATAAGCTTCTTTTTCTTTTGTCATATAAAATCGGCAACAAGTTTTTAACTAGATAACACTCTTGATACGAATAGAAATCATGCTTAGCATCCTTGTTCTGTAGCAAGATTCATCCTATGGACAAGAGAGTACACTTGGGGAAGTTTAGCATTTTGTTGTAACATCTTACTTAGAGATTATGTAAAGAGTAAGTCTACTTAAAATTGGCTCATACATAATTGAATCGTGTGATTAAAATTATATGTTTACGATGATTTAATTTGGTAATTTAGATGAAGCAATCAAATATCTATATTTCTTATGATATCTTTTACTTGGATGATAGGTATATGATGTCAATTACATTTGCCACCACATTTGCCATGATAATTAGACTGTAGGCTTTGATGCTATTTATTATATAATTTCCGCTACTTATTGGTTGTTCAATTTGTGGAGTATATCTTCACTTCATCTTTCCAAGTCGATCATATTTTCTTGTTTCTTGGAAAGATATTAACCTCTAATAACCTAGTAGGATCTTTTTCCAAGCAGAAGGATTATTCCAAATTGTAAACAATGAAAATTAAGCTTTTCTTTGATTCTCATATGATGGATGATAGTTTTAAAGAATTCGTTGCTGTTGCAACAGGCAAATATCAGGGAACTGTAATTCTTTCGCACTTTACTTTATTTGAGAGTGTAGAGAAGATCTTAGACTTACCTCATACCATCACCTTACATATTTACATTAGCAGCAGTAAGATCAAAAACATGGAGTATGTGACTCTTCTTATGCTTCGGCTTAGTTACTTGACAAGCTGTGTTATATGGAAAGCCTGTATATAAAAAGAGAGATTGATAATATAAAATATTCCTAATTTATTTTCTATCTACTACCTATGTAGGATACATTCTAAACACATTTTTCCACTCCCTTTAGTTAGCAAACATTGGTTGAAGGCTAAGTAATTTGCAAGTGCGTATATAGGCCGGTTTTGCATTTTCTAACTCTTTCTCTAACAATAGTAGGAACACCAAACATCCTGCTCTCTGTTATCAGTTTTGGAATGATAGAGGACTAGAATTGTTACTCATTTTCGGGATTTAAATTGAAGTCTTGAAACCGCATAAATTCGGAGATAACTTGCTTCCTTCTTGAGTATACTTTGTCAAACCTTGCGTTAAGGGCTGGATATGCAGGGTACTCGGAAGTTGGATTTTCAGGAGAGTCAGGATTTGCAAGAGACGCAGGAGTTGAATTTTCAAGAGACTCTAGATTTGCTAGACTCGATAGTTGGATTTCTAGTGGACTAAGGGGGAGGAACATTAATAGAGCTAGACTGTTTTAACACAGATGGAGATGACAAATCAGATAGCAAAAAAATCGGCCTTTTCTTCCAATACTGAATTCTCCGATGAAGATAGGGAATGGTGAAGTAGGATTCTTGTTTATGAAAAGTTGCATCGATAGAGACATTGGACTATTTTGGTAGATGAGAGCATTTATATCCTTTTTTAGTTGAAAAATATCCCACAAATACAAGATTTTGTGATGCAAAGATTTGGATAAATGTGGCAAGGACACTCACTGGACTTTTAAATCCAAAAACTAGGGAAGGTAATCGAGTGATGATGTGGAACTGGGTAGTCATATCCAACAAAATCTAGGCACATTTTTTAAACAGAAAGGATCTTGTGGGATTAAGCATGTGACCAATTTGTGTTCAGCTACTCCATTTTGTTGTGGAGTATTGACACACGAGGATTCATGCATTTTCTCTCATTTTAAAATATGGAGTTAAAAACAGATTGAAATAATCCTCGGCAATATCTTACCCAACTTTTTTGATATTGACACTGAACTGAAACTTCATCATAGAACAAAAATTGGGGAGAACAGTGCTGAAATAAGACTTCTGTTTCAGCAGAGAAATCCAGGTAACACTAGGACAATCATCAATGACTGAAATCTTTTAGCCCCATTTACATTGGAAGTAGTGCTCCTAATGTCACTATTAATAAGGTAAAAAGGAATGAAACTTCTTTTGTTACTAATTGGAAACAACACACGTTTGTCTTTAGCAAGTTCTCATACCTCACAATCAAAACATCCAACATCTGAGTGCTTAAATAGACGAGGAGACAAATAAGGATCCTTAATGATGGATGTCCAAATCGGCAATAATAAAGCCAAAAAATTTCTTTAGATGAAAGAGACTCTAAAACAAAGGAAAATGATATTATACAATAGTAGTTGATTGATTCAGTGTTTCAAGGTAGTAGAGCCCATCCCATTCTCTAGCATGTCTGATCGTCCCTCCCTGAATCCTTGTTCTGAAATACACAATAACTTTGATAAATACCGATGTACAAAGCAAATCTTGTATGAACTCTGTATGGAAACAAGGTTTGTGGTTAGTTTAGTGACATGAAGAGCATTTTAATAACAATGATGGGCCTATCTTCAATAATTGCCACAACTTCATTAAGGCTCGGAATTTCTTGGTGAATTTCTTGTTTGCCAAGAATCTGTTTTCGAACTTGGTCAAATTCCAGGCCGAGTCCAACAAGGAAATTGTAGACCCTATCTTCTTCAATGATGATTGAATCTAACCAGGATGTATATATATACACATCGCAATGGTGATCGAATCTATGTTTTTTATTAGAATTAATTGAATTGAAGGAAAGTTTTTTTTCGTCAAACAACCAAGGCTGAATGCAGGCAGACTATTTATTTGCAAATTGCAATATTATCTCAAATTTGTTTCTCAACTCTCTGTACTTCAACTGCTAAACTGTCCAAAGCTCATGCTTGTGTTTCATAATTATAGGTATGCCATCACAAAGGCTTTCATTGTAGCCTTTTGCCTAACATTCTTGTCTGTGCTCGATGTCCCTGTTTTCTGGCCCATCTTGCTCTGCTATTGGATTGTTCTGTTTGTCCTCACAATGAAGCATCAAATCATGCACATGATCAAATACAAATACGTTCCATTTAACATCGGGAAGCAGGCAAGAACCGCCAAAATTCTCCCTTTTTGTGCATATAACCAAATTGATTTTCATTTGTCACTTGTACTTACGAAAACCATCTTCTTAAATTCTGACAGACATATGGTGGAAAAGAATCACCTGGAAGTAGCAGAAGGCACTGAAGTTAGAACAAACAATCAAATAGGACTGAATATAGAATAATAGATATGAGACAAGTCTTTCGTTTTTGTTTCGATTTCTAGATTTTTGGTTATTGATTACAGAAGATATGTAGTAGGGACCCTTTAAGAGTTCTAATTCCTGATCAAACATATTGGCTTCCTGTCTGATTCTCCAATGATAAATCTGCCTGTTGGTTTGTGACTAGTATATAAATCAGTTGACAGGTGGGCCTTCTGTGATTGAGTAGCTAAGGTATGTGTGTAATTACAATTTTGACCCCACAGAAAGGGAATTCTTTAGCTTGATGGGATCTGCCACCAAACTGGTAAACAAGGACTTGCCAACTACCAAGGCTTGAAGCTGATTGTCAAATACTGGTTGACTTTTCATGTAGAAAGCATATAATATTAGCAATTGGGACAGTGGTCTTGAATAATGTTGTTTATTGTTAATAATTTTTATTTTTTATTAAGCATTGCTAGCTAATATGTGTTTTCATTTTGTAGGAATTGAAGAAGTTGGCTGAAGATATGAGTATATAACCCCTCTACCAAATTTATTCTAGCAAATCATTTCTACAAGAAATGGTGGGAAGAACCTTTCTTGTGATTCTATTCTTTTGGGCTGCTCTCACCATTGTCACGCCGATCCTCGTTCGCATGTCCTCCTCGACGAGTGTTCTCGACTATAATGGTATGTATTTATGTTTAAAATATTGGCAATTGAATCGCGTTTTGTGTCTAAGAATTGTGGGGTTATTTAGGATGATAACCTGCTGACATATATTTTTTAAATGTATGATCTTCTGACTTATTCAAGAACACTTCCTGCCTAACAGAAGAATGCTTTTTCCTAACACAAGAATCCCTCAAAATTTGTTAGAAGGTCATGTATTTATGATAAAAAAAGACTCGGAAGGTTATTCCTGCTAAATATACCGAAAAGAATTGTGTATTTAAAGTAGAGGTAAGGTCTGCATACATTCTACCCTTCCCAAATGCTATTTTGTGTGGGATTAGGGTTCGTTAGTTTTAATTGTTGTATGTTGAAAGAAGTTTCGGTACGATTTTGTAGATGAATTGGACAAGGGGGGCCCTCAAAGAAGTAGAGGGATGAGTTTCTTGCCCAGAAGAACACTTGTATCTACCGAACACCCTTTTGCACCGGCACCTGCACCTGCACCCGCACCCTGCCCGCCTAAACGGCTGGTGATGCAAAGATACTCAAGTTCGTCGAGAAAAAAACTTTAGCAAACTATTAATGGCATAAAATTATATAACGGCGAGCTACGGTCATGCTTGAAAGGAGCTCTGTGGTGCTCTTTATCAGGTTTCGGTGTATATTCTTGTTCTTTTTTCTAACCAAAGGAAGGGAAAATCTTGGAGTAACAAGGATGCATCAAGATGAATGAGCATGATCATACAACTTACTAAATGGGTTTAACAATAGATGTGATCATTTGTAGACATGGGTCGAGTGTAACCAATTTTTGGTTCAACAGGTCTAATATGTTTTTGCGGGTTTAATAACTCGCACGTATGATGTATCCGTCCATATAATCAGGCTGGACTTGCTAACGGGTCTAAAAATCTTTTTTGTTTAAAAAAGCAAAACTTATATAAGTTTTATGAAGTCAAACAAATTATATATTCTTTTTCTTACATAAAATAGAAGCTAAAAATATAACAATGATATTACTTGAAGAAAAAAATATAGTTTTACAAAATATGAGAATTCTAAACAACCAAATATTTTACTATTTCAAAAAATTCGAGACATGCTAAATGGTACGTTGTATATTAGTATGCAATTTATAGGTAGTGATGGCCAAATCGGTTCGGTCCGGCCCGGCCTGGCTCGGGACTGCTGGAGGACCGGGACCGGCAAAGGACCGGCCCGACCTGGGACTGAAAATCGGGACCGGTTGAGGTTTTTGATAGTTTTGTGGGACCGGTTATGGACCGACTTGACCCGAAAATTCAAATAATTTTATAAATAAATGTATTTTTAAATAATTTTATAATGTATTTTTATAAGATAATGTAATTTTAATTATATTAAAACGTATTTTTAAAGTGTATTTGAGTGACCAAATTGTAAACTTTATAATGCATTAAAAATATATATCATTAAAAAATAAAAATAAAAAACTTACTTTTTAATGCCGGGATCGGTTGGGACCGGGACCGGCGGCTCATAACTGATTATGAAATACCTTGATTGGTCTTACCATTTTTGACCGAAACCGGTTATGCTGTAAGAAAGCTTGAGACCGATTAGGCTCGGCCCAGGACCCATTTTTGACCATCACTCTTTACAAGTGCACAAAAAGCCCGAAACTTAAAGCCTAGCTGGAGCCTAGCAATTCAAAAGCATAGGCCTAAAACTTTAATCGGGTCATGTTTTTAAAAAAAACTAGGCTCGAAAAAGCCCACTCGAGCATATTTGCACTAACATCAGTTTTTGGGCTTTTATGTGTTAATCCAATGGGCTCTCCTTTTTGTTGTAAAGAAAACCCAATGGGCTTTGGGTTTCTTTTGTAAGGGAAAGTCATAAAGAAGCACATTGGACCCAAAATGAATGAGATTTGACATTAATCTTATTGATTGGATCTCAACATGTTCAAAATTTTCTTCTATTCAAGTCGTAGTTGATGGTACGTTATCGATCTAGAGATGCACAGAAAGCCCAGAGATCAGGAATCGCCTCGTGCCGAGACCGAAAAGCCTGGTACTAAGGACAAGTTATGACACAAATGAAGTCTAATTTGGCTTGTATTTCCTCGGTAATCCGTCCCTGATGCTCATTCTCGGTAATCCGTCAGGGTGATGCTCACCCTCGGTAATTCGACAGTGATCCTCACCCTTGGTAAACGGTGAGTAACTTAAACCTTCAGCAAACAGTTGGTGACCTTCATCGTTGGTAAATTATTACCCACAAAAATTTAACTGCTAACGGAGCAATGATGGCACCAACTTTGACCGATCGCCTGGTCCGTCGGTGAAAGTGCTTTAAATTGTAGTGTATATTTGTATGATTGTATAGTATATTCATTAATGTATTATTTTATGGGTTATTTAAAAATATCAAACGTTTATTTACACGACTGGTATAAAGTTGATAGTGATATGGTACCATAACAGTAATTGTAATTTATGGGTTGTGAAATGTGGTCCAATGCTATCTGGCAACCGTACTTGCAGGTATAATCAATGGACAAAGAAAAAATCGTTTATCAATTATCCATATCCCGGCTTATACCTAACTGATATCACCTTGTGACATACCATACTACACATTTGCATATAACATATATTTCATATCAAAGAAATACAGATTACACCATATTGGTCCCACTAGTACACGGTTTCTATACTTGCAAAATCTACAACTGAAAAATTCTATTAGAATAACTCTGTACTATCACATGCGTGTCTACATGTATCTTCACAATAACAGATTGATCTTCAAAACACAACAGATAAGCATATAAAAAATTAATCATATTTTCCCCTTCCCCTTAACATCTCGAGACACTGTTGGTCCTGCAATGCATATTTAAAACACAAAACGAGGGTTAGACCGGAAGCTCTAGTGAGATAACCCTTTCTTTGCAATTACAGGGTAAAGATCACCAAAACTTTAAAATCATCTTTTTACATATACAGATATATACACTCCCGGAATCTGCATTAATTATAAAATACAGAGATACATAATTCGTTTGGCTCAACTGAACAGAGCTCCCCGGGCTCTTAAAAACCAACGCCCCTCTGGTTACTAAAGATCAAAGCTCCTCTATCTCTAAAAAATAGTTTTATTTAAACAACTCCTCTAATTGACCTTTTCATAAAAAGAAGCCCTCATCAAGTGCCAAAACAATCTTCAATAAATTGTTTTGTTATTAGAAATAAAACTAAATTCAAGAAACACTAATAATTAATATAAAATTGTTTTTAACGTATATTTTTAGACGCAAAATCAATCAATAAAAGTTTCTAAATTATTATTATCTACTATATGATTTTCATCATCAATCCATTCCATTATATATATATATATATATATATATATATAGGGGCTTAATCAAATGAGAACTGAGTTGTTTGTGGTAACTGTGAGAACCAATCTCAACCACACATCTTAAATATCAATGGTTAAAATTGAAAAGAATCTTAATTAATGTGATTCCAAAATTAGATTAATGACATTTAAT